CAAAACAAAACATAGAAGTCACCTCCTTATGACCTCACTGACTAATGTGCTGTAACTGTCTCCTGTTTTCATGTCTTTTCATTGTTTCTGCTGCTGCAGGCTGAGATCGGAGCCTTTTTCATTTGTGCATCTACAGTTCATCCATAACTGACCTCACTTGTTCTGTGCCCTGAAGAATAAACTGCAGCTGGATCGCTCCCTGCAAAATGAGACAAAGTCACGTGATGGAAAATGTGGATTTGAAAAGCGACTTCGACACCTCTGCTGACTGAGTTTAGTTTTCAAAACAGGAAAGTAAATGACCAAAGAGCTGCTCACTCACTCAAAACTTTTACACAGTGCATCACTTTCACAACAACCTGTGAAGCCAGTTTCAAAGACAACCGTTTACGTCTTGATGACATTCCCACGTTCACCCTCTAGCACAGCATCTCCACAGAGCTGAACTGCTCTCAGTTTATTTGAGACACACAAAACAAAGAGTAAAGTGTCCTTTAAGCGAGACTTCAAGAGACTTCTGAGGATGATGCCACTCCTTAAAATGATTCTAGGCGAGTTTCTTCCCTTTAAAGAATAAAATGAAATGATGCCTGCTGATGTGCTGCAGCTGTTTCCAGAGTCTGTGACTCTGGATTCACATGAAGAAACAATTTCCCTTTTTGAACCTGTGATTGGCTGATGTTGCACAGGTGTGTTCAATGACCAGGAAACTGCTTTGTAAGATGTTTTATTAAAGTGAAAATTAAACTTTCCATTTCATCCTGACCTCTACATTCAAACTGGTCCAGTGCAGCTATACAACTGTAAACACACACAGAATATCATTAAATAAATAATATAGAATATAGAGAGGAGTGCAGGGATGTGTTTGGCAGCCAGCTGGACCTCACTGGTTAGACTGGTTAAGCTGTGGTGAAGGTGTGTGGCTCAGCTTCAGTGAGGAGTAGATGACGGCTGGCTCTGGTGGAAGATCTGAACACAAACACACAGATTAGAGAAAGTTTAGATAAACATGACAAAAAAACACACACTTTGTTTATTACAAAGAGGATATCCACAAAACTGTTTTACACAAATATAGATAAATGAATCTCAGAATTCTAATAATTAATATTGAAATCTATAAATATGTCTTAGTAGTAGTCAGATCTTTTGTTTTTGAATGACAGAACTGATGCTTTGCTGAATTATATGTCGCCCCTGTTTCCATCGCACGTCATCATCAACCTTCAGCTGGACCATCTCTGATTTGCAATAAAATAAAAAAATTAATAAGAGGCATTAACTAAAGAGCTGTTCCAGTGTTACTGACCACTCAGAGAATTTCACAGCTGTACCTCTCTGCCTGCAGTTCGTCTTGATGGGGATCTGTGCGTAGCTGATCTCAGGTGTTCTGTGCACTGAAGAGTAAACTGCTGCTGGATCGCTCTCTGCAAAACATGACAAAGTCAGGTGACTGACCCAGAACCTGTGTTTTACGGTGAGAAAAAGTTTGACATTCCAGGAACAACAGCGGCAAATGTGAGGCCACAGCCGAGCCTGTCTTTAACATGCAGCAACCTTAACACCTCTGCTCGGTTTAGCTCTCAAAACAGGAAACCTAATGACCACAGAGCCGCTCGCTTGGCACAATGATGTAAGTCTTACACAATGCATCATGTAAAGTAAACACTTTGCAAAAGTGTGAAAGTCTTTTTTTTTTTCCAAATTTAACCTGACCTGACTAGCATGTGGCAGTAGTTACAGAAGTGCTGCACCAAAGATCATTATAACCTGTAAATATTCCAAACTGTGTGTAAGTGTAATCCAAAAATGACAACATGGAGCTAGAAATAAGAATAATAAGCCTGCTTTAATGTGAGAAGCACAAGACCTCACTCTTTCTGGCTCTGGTTCAACATCTTTAATACAGGAGATTTTTAATGATGGACTGAAGTCTTTGTCCCTTATGTGCGAGCAATTTACAAACTGATCAACCTGACCTGATGAAAAACCAGCCATGCACCTCACAGAGCCTCATGTCGAAACACGAGAGGATTAATGCTGTCCTTTACCTCTCATCATCTTTGACCCATTTCGATCATCTGCAGATGTTCTTCCCACTGATGAAGAGTTGGCAGCTGTTGCTCTCTCTGCAAAATCAAATGCAAAGATTTTCCATTAATAGCAGAACTGTAAATGCTGCTGATTCAGCAAGATTAATATTTGAAAGAAGGCGAAATGTGTTTAAAATGCAAAGTGAAGAAAAGACTGCGGTCAGAATAAAGGTTTTTTTTTTTTAAAGTGTTTCTGTCTTTTCTTTCAAAAAACAGGAAACTGGACTGAACCGCTCGCATCAGCTTTCTTTGACCACAACTTCTCACTTCACACACACTGGAAAAACTAACCAAACTGTGTACAGTGTACAAATGTATATTCAAATATGACATTAATCATAAAATGCTATTGTAGAAACTGATGCACAATTTAATTAATCACGATTAATATTATAAGAAGGTGAATGTGTTTAAAATGAAAAATGAAGAGAAGACTGCAGTCAGAATAAAGTTGGGTGAAGATGAAATATAAAAAAAATCTAAATTGTTTTATTTTCTTTTACAACAAGTCTCACGTACAATATCTAATTTCACACACACAAGAAAAAAAAACCAAACTGTGTACAGTGTGCAAATGTTCATGACATTAATCATAAAATTCTATTGTAGAAATCGATGCACAAGAAGTGCCTGTAGCTTAGTCATAATAAGCCTTATTTAAGCCTCAGTTAATAATGTAAATGGTCTGTGGCTCAAACTGGTCCTCACAGAGACAGATGTGTGGAAATAACACGTACAGCATGTTGCAGCTTTTAAAGAAAGCGATTGTGTTTGCTGTTTCCACTTAGATGATGTTAGTGTGAGCTCTGACTGTTGGAGATGTGGGCTGTAGAAGTGAGGCTCAAAGTGCCAGAAACACAAAAATGGAGATTAGAATTTATTGATTTTTTTTAGGTGATTTGTTTTAAAAAAAAACAGTGGTTTGATGTGTCATCATAAAGGGCAGAATGTGTCTCACCTCCAGTTTTTCCCTGGATGCATCGTCTCAGCACTAGAAGCAGTATGACCAGCAGGAGCAACCCAGTTATGGAGGGAACAGACACCATCACAGAGAGAGGAGGAGAGGAAAACGAGGAGTAGAAGGAGGCAGTGGAGGCTGATGGAGGAGGAGAGGTGGGAGAACCTGCATCTACTAAGAAATACAAATCGATGTGGTCAGTTTGACTCACTTTGGGTCTAAAGTCTGTAAAAGAAACAGAAGCCTCACCTGTGACAGTGATCCAGCTGGATGGAGACTCTCCATGACCGCTGATGTCACACTTGTAGAGGCCTTCATCAGACCTGGAAACATGCTGGATGGTCATGTGACCTGTAGGCTGCTTCCTGATGAGGGAGCCATCTTTATAGAAAGCAGCTGGGAGGTTGGAGGGAGTGGTCTTTGTTTTACAGAGCAGAGTGACGTCATCTCCCTCCATCACAGGGAGGACAGGACTCTGCAGGATCACTGATCCACCTCAACACAGAGACAAACTACAGCATTTCATCCATTTACACACAGCTTCATCAACACTAACTCCACACACTCAGCTTACCAGTGACTGTCAGGTTAACCATGTTACTGATGGGACCCTCTCTGGACTCACACCAGTAAACTCCACTGTCCAGTAGGACGATGTGGCTGATGTTGCAGGAAGAACCGTCTAATTTTCCAAACCCATCTCCACACTGAGTCCTGGTTTCTAAGCTTGTGTTTCTCCTCAGAGTCCATCCAGCAGAGCTGTCGTCCTCCTCACAGCTCAGAGACACAAAGTCTCTTATAAAGAACTGAGAGCTGCTGGGACTCACAGTCAGACGAGCTGTGAGGAGAGACGATTAAAATAAAGCAAAACGTGAGGAAAAGCTTTTTCACAAAGAAACCAGCAGAATCTTTGTTGGTGTGTTTCAGATGAGGGCAGAAAATGATCCACGAGTTTAAGTCATACAAAAGATAATCTCCTAAAATCCTGCCCAGGTATCATGAAATAACTTTTTAGAGATCTCGTTCTATGATATCATACAGATACAAAAGTCTAAACATGTCAGTCTGCATTCTGAGCTTTAATCTCACAGGGATTACTTGTGCATACACTGACCTCGTGGTATCTATTATGAATATTAACCATTAAAGACAGGATATCAGGAAACGAACAACATCTTCTCTCCAAGTTAAACAGAGATTTGCAATCTGTCTGCAGGTAAAAACTTAACAAATTAATTTACTTTTTACATTATTTATTTTCATTCCTTCCTTCGAGAAATTGGGCTGCTGGTAGCCGTGTGCTCGTCGTGTGTCACAGGACCAAGAAAGCCTCATTAAAAAGCAAACATTGATGGTCACGTTTTATATCATCCACTCTTTAGTCCTCTTATTTTTAAGTAGGTTTTTATTAGGATTTAAACATTAAAATCACTTTATGTTTAAGAATCTGTTCCTTTCTGCTCATTTTAAAATCATTAACTAGTATTTAGGGACTAGTCTATAGAAAACACATTACTAACCTCTTCCTTCTTTTTTACTGAAAAGTTATAAAGTTTGGTGAAACTCCAAAAACTCTTGATATAAAGTCTGGAACTCTTTTGCTAGATCGATAAAACTTTATTAATCCCTCAGGTAGATTCCTCTGGGAAATTCAGTTTCCAGTGGCAGAACACCGACAGAAATTTGCATAGTAGAAATTAGAATTAGAAAATAGAATATAGAGAGAGTTTTTATATTTATTTATATTTATATATGCTGTATATATAATATATATATATATA